TGGAGTAATGGATGTCAGTTTTAATGCCCATGTACATTTTCAGAATTGTATTCTAAGAAATCTAAATATATGAAAATGATACAAAAACATCTCTGTAATCTTGATGGTATGGTAAAATATTTTATGTTCATCAACTTTTAGAATACTCTGCAACTGAGCATGAAATTTGAAATGGAATTTTAAGTTTCCTTTGGGATTTTACATTTCTAAAAATAAAATAACTCTTTTAAAGTAACTCCATTTTGTGAAGTAGCATCTTTAAAAATATATGTAAAACAAAATTGACATAGTAAATTAACTAGAAATTTAATATCTATATATTCTACCATGAGCTTACCCATATTCAGGGCTTTGTAAACCAGAAACAAAATGGCGGTCCTGATCTCTGTATTCAATGATCTTGCACTCAAACAATATAATAATATTTTAAAAGAAAACAGATTAAATATAAAATGTGTAAGGAACTAATTTTTGAACTACCTAAAGAGATACCATTACTATTTTTAAGGTCTGTTAGTGTTGTCTGAGAAGTACTTATGGAGGAACTAGAGGTCCGGTGCACAAAATTTGTGCATGGGGGGTGGGGAGGGGGAGGAATCCCTCAGCCTGGCCTGCACCCTCTCACAATCTGGGACCACTGGTTCCTAACGGCTCCCCACCTGCCTGCCTGATTGCCCCTAAGAACTCTATCTGCCTGCCTCATCACCCCTAACCACTTGTCTGCCTACCTGATCACCCCTAACCACTCTGTCTGCCTGCCTCATCACCTCTACCACTTACCTGCCTGCCTGATCACCCCTAACTGCCTCTGCCTCGGCCCCCACTGCCGCGGCTTTGTCCAGAAGGACATCCGGAATTATGTCCAGAAGGTCGTTCGGCTGTCTGGTCTAAGTAGCATATTATGCTTTATTATTATAGATTGGTGCTTAATATGGAATTTGAAGAAGTGATAAGATATGGATAAAAGTTTATAAACTTTTGAAAAAAATTAGCCACAAGTGATGACTAGAGACAAATATTTATTTAGAACACCTAATAACTTAAAAATCATAAAATATGATAGCATGCATATTATAAGTAAAATTATAGTTATAAAAGATCTCTACATATATAAGCAAAGGAAAATTAATTTGGTTTTGACTGTGTTTAATTCCAACTAAAGTAAACTTATGTAATTCGCAATGATATAATAGCTACCACTAAAATAAACTGTCTGGGAATAATTATTTAGGCTCTTTTGTCTATTAATAGTCATAAAATTTTTCATTCATAAAATAAAATAAGCACAAATTATTTTATGCCATCCAATCTGTCTATACAAAAATATTCTTTGCCACATTTGAATGTTTTGATTTCTTGTTATATTAGCTGCTTTTGCCAATTTCCTTTTTTAAGACTAGAAATATCTGGGGTGCAAAGATTTTAGTTGTCCTATGTACAGATGTTCTTATATAATCACATATTACAATAGGAGATAGGCAAAGTAGACAGTGATGTTGACTATAGTGGATCCCCTCACTTTGACACTAGAATTAGCTGGGTTTACATAATTGACAAATAAAAACTATGGGAGATCAAATTGTAGCAGATATAACCATTTCTAATATGGGGATGAATTATTAACAAAACAAAAGGATGTAAGAGGAAAACATCATCAATAATGAATGAAACCACTCCTAAAAAAGAGCTGTGGTAACAACTGAGAGCTAGGAAACCAATGTGTATCTAGTCTCTCAGTGTGTATTTAGATGTTACTCGCTGAAAATGTAAATTGGCAGTTTCTGCTGAGATGAGAAGAAAACACAACTCTGGTGACTCCCCATTAACACAGCCCTGGGGAGGCTGTGAAAGGAAACAGTCTAATGGATTCTGAAAATGGACCTATGAACTACAAGAAAGCACTGGGGGGATGGCTGAGTCATGGCGTAGGAGGGTGGATGCGTTTGCTCGTGCTGCGAAAGCAAAGTGCCACAAACAAGTTGGCTTGAGTAACAAAAGTTTGTCTTACAGTTCTGGAGGCCAGAAGTCCAAAATCAAGGTGTCAACAAGGTTGATTCCTTCTGGGTTTGTAAGAATCTGCCAGGATTCTCTCCTCGCTTCTGGAGGTTTGCTGCCCATCTTTGGCATTCCTTGGCTTGTAGATATGTCACCCCAATCTCTACCTTCATGTTTACATTGAGTTTTCCTATGTATATATGTCCAAATTTCCCCTTTTTGTGTATGGACACCTGTCACAGTAGAATGAGAATCCAGCCTACTCCAATATGACCTCATTTTAACAACTAATTATGTCTGCTAGAACAATATTGTCTTAAAAATGTACTTCTAAATGTATATTCAATCATGTCCTTCTACTTCAAAAATCTTTAATTAACTTATTATCCCTTTCTCAAAAAATAAAATCATTCACATTTTGTGGCCTTCTGTTACCTGATATAAGACAATCTCAAACCACATCTCTCTCTTCTCATCTCTTTCTCCCTTATTTCCTAGAATCTGTCCATCTATCCTGCATTTTTGAAGTTCCCCAATGTTCCACCCACTTGCTCTGTTTACCATAGGCCAACCTTCTCTAGAGAACTCCTTTCACTGAAAAATAACCTCAAAACCTAGCTCAGATGTTCCCTTTTTGGATATTTATCCCTGACCTCCCACCACCCTTATTCTTATGTGTCTTTCCTGCGTGTCCATGCCAACCAGTATTCAAGTGAACTGCAGCACATGCACTTGGCGCTTCTATATGTTTTTCTTTCTATTGTACTGTCAGCTTCTAAGAGAAAGAACAATTTCAATATATTTTTAGTGATAGAAGTAAATGTAGCTCCATTGTGTTTTTTTGAAAGAGTAAGAGAATTAATAAAATAGCTCCTTCTCTCTGAGGCAGTCTCAAGTGCTCTGTTTATTTGGTGTCCTCTTCAGAAAAGAAAGTTGAGTCACGACTTGCTCAAGAGAATTAGCTATGATTTGAACTTATTTTTATCAAAATTTAAATTAATCTATACTTTCAAATTTTTCGAAAGGAATATCAGTACAGACACACATATATATGAAATTAAATATCTGGTATCGTATACCAGAACATAATGTTAGGGTAAAGGTTTTCTAAAGCTGTCATGATATTGGAACTAGAGCTTAAAGGAGAAGAGGTGCTTTATTTCTTTCTTGGTAACTCTACATCATTGTGGACCATGCCCCTATTAGTTTCATTGACAAAAGTGTTTCCTATATCACTGGGTTGGTTCATAAACAATGATGTTATTCCTAGTATCTTATCTTGGCCAAGAATGTCCAAATATTGCTAAGGTAGAGCAAAGATGTGCTTTAAAGTTTGCATCTTCTTAGGGAAGAGAAACAGTGTCAGAGCCAGAATATGCTATTAGTGAGAACCCAGAAATGAGATTTTCTGTAAGGCTCCAAAGAGCTCATAAAATATTTAGAGGGTCCTATGCTAATATCACATCAAGGGATGTGCTGCACTCAGCTTTATGGGTTGTGGTAATAAAGTAGATGAAATAAAAAATACCTTTTTAATTTACTTGTAGTATTTTTTGTCCTTTCATTGTGAAAATGTTAGTTATCCAATAGTTCTTTCACCTTTATCATCATAACCAATAAAAATCAAGTGCTGGCCATGCTCCATGTTTTGGACATGTCTCAAACAGAATCCTCAGAGCGATGGTGATTCTCTGGCCACCATATGCAATGTAACTTGGGTAGACTGTAATATCTGTCAATAAATGAATTGTCATGTCCCTGTCTGAGGGAAGTATTGTTATTGGAACAAGTAAGCTCTTTTTTTTCATTTTTTTCTCAATAACAAGACCCTCTATGCTCACCCTCGCCACAGGATGGAATTAAAGGAGTTCAGAATATGCCACCCTCAAATATGCCAGTCTGTCACAAGGATGACTTGGAGCTGAGGCAACAGGAAAAAAAACACACAAAACAAAACAGACCCAAGACGAACTTTCTGCCATCGCACATCTGCCTGGAAGCAGACTATAAATCCCCTTGTGAAGGTTGTCACCATCCCACTGTGCCAGGAAGGGGATACCAACCTTGTCACCTGAGGCTGCAAGGCCCTCAGAAGTCTACAGCAAACCTTGCTAGGGCCTCCTTATCTTCTATTAGTTTCTTCCATATATGTATCTTCTCACAGTTTACCACCCCTAAAGCCTACATCCCTTTTCTTGTCACTTATCTACAAATTCATTGTTCTTGTTAAGCTGCCATGAAAGTCCCAAGTTTTAACCACCCCTTTGAGTTACTCATAAGTGGGTTTCTCCTATACATATTGGCACTGCACATGATAATAAATTCTGTCTTCCTCTTGATCATCTGTCCATTGTCAGTTTAATTTTCAGGACCCCAGCTGAAGAACCTAAGAGAGCAGTTGATAAAGATTTATTTATTTATTATTTTACTTACTTACTTACTTACTTACTTACTTACTAGAGGCCCGATGCATGACATTTATGCAAGAGTACGCCTTCCTTCCCTCAGCTGCTGGTACCAGCTTTCCTCTGGCACCCGGGACCCGGGCTTCCCTCATAGCCCCAGCTTCGTCTGGAAGGACACCTGTTCTAATTAGCATATTATGCTTTTTATATTATATATATATATATATATATATATATATATATATATATATATATATATATTATTTATTTCCACCCTACTGATGTAACGGGGAAATTGAGGAATATAATTAAGGTATTTTCTTTTGACTGTTGAGTAGGAGAGCATATGAATAAGACAAATTTTGAAAGAAGATGTGTTTCTTTGTCTCTGTAAATAAGGAAACTAGCATGATGTTGAACCACTAAGTAATAGGACAAAATGGATAAGCCCATGAGAAATGTTAAGAATTCTCTGTGATTGGCAATAGAAACTATCGAAATCCAATGCCCTTTCATTCCCTAGAAAGAGATTGTCTAGCTCATCTTATTAACAGGAATAGTTGTGTTGATTCATCAACATAGGAAGCTACTCTTGTGGCTAGGGTTGTAGTTTAGGGGTAGAGCTTATGTTTTGCATGAATGAGGCCCTGAGTTCAAACCCTGGCATCTCCAAGTCCCTTCACTGGCTGCATGGACCTTTTCTTTAGGCTCATTTATTCTTCCTAGGGGGACTATATATTCAGTGCTACACATTATATAAATTACTGTAATAAATAAACTATATGCAAAGCTAGTGATGTGATAATGGTATTTTCTTTCACTATTCATAACTTTTTATCCATTAATCCAAAATAAAAAGCTGACCTTTCCAAATTTAATTCATTTACATCACTTAATAGTCTACTTCTTTTTAAAATTTAAATTCTTTATTGTTGAATTTATTACAGGTGTCTCCTTTCCCGCCCCCCCCCCCCCCCCCGTTGACTTCTCCCCACCCACTCCTGCCACCCAGCACATGCCCTCACTCCCCTACTGTATGTGTCCTTTGGTTATGCTTATATGCATGCATACAAGTCCTTTGGTTAATCTCTTATCCCCACCCCCACCCTCCCCTGCTTTCCCTCTGAGGTTTGTTGGTCTGTTTGATGTTTCTATGTCTCTGTATCTATTTTTGTTCATCAGTTTATGTTGTTCATTATATTCCACAAATGAGTGAGATCACTTGATATTTATCTTTCTCTGGCTTATTTCGCTTAGCATATGCTCTCCAGGTCCATCCATATTGTTGCAAAAGGTAAGAGTTCTTTCTTTTTCACAACAGCCTAGTATTCTATTGTGTAGATATACCACAGTTTTTTAATCCATTCATCTGCAGATGGGCACTTAGGCTGTTTCCAAATCTTAGCTATTATGAATTGTGCTGCTATGAACATAGAGGTGAATATATTCTTTCTGATTGGTGTTTCTGATTCCTTGGGATATATCCTAGAAATGGGATTACTGGGTCAAATGGGAGTTTCATTTTTATCTTTGGAGTAAACTCCATACTGTTTTCCACAGTGGCTGCACCAGTCTGCATTCCCACTAGCAGTATACAAGGGTTCCTTTTTCTCCACTTCCTCACCAGAACTTGTAGTTTGTTGATTTCCCAGAAATTGACCCAAGCCATTATGCTCAATTAATATTTGACAAAGGCAGCAAGAGCATACAATGGAGTCAAGACAATCTCTTCAATAAATGGTGTTGGCAAAATTGGACAGATACATGCAAAAAAATGGAACTAGACCACCAACTTACATCATACACAAAAATAAACTCAAAATGGATAAAAGACTTAAACATAAGACTGGAAACCATAAAATCTTAGAAGAATCCATAGGCAACAAAATATCAGACATATCTCATAACAATATCTTTACCGATACAGCTCCTAGGGCAATGGAAACTAAGGAGAAAATAAACAAATGGGACTACATCAAAATAAAAAGCTCTGAACCACAAAAGAAACCATCAGCAAAACAACAAGAAAGCCCACTGCATTGGAGAACATATTTGGCAATATTACATCCAATAAGGGTTTAATCTCCAAAATTTATAGTATAGGGAACTCATACAACTTAACAAAAGGAAGATAAGCAATCCAATCAAAAAATGGACAAAGGACTTCTAGAAAATTGACATACAGAAGGCCAAAAGACATATGAAAAAATGCTCAAAGTCACTAATCATCTGAGAGATGCAAATCAAAATGACAATGAGGTGTCACCTCACACCTGTCAGAATGGCTATCATCAAGAGTCTACTTTTTAAAATAAAACCATATAAGTGGTCAGATAAAAACCTTACCTGCTCTGCCATGGGCATGGCCCACTTAAGGAATAACAATATAACAAAATTATTTATAGCACTCTTGATTTCTAAATTATTCTCACCTATAATATGCTTTTAGTATTCACTGGAAAGTTATGGAAGGTAATGGAGCCAGGAAGGTCCATATACATCTCACATCTTAGTGCTGTGGCTGATTATCCTACACAATTCCATGATGTAAAGGTTCAGTAATCCATGGATTAAACTGGGTTTTTTAAGATCAAGCATTTTAAAGTTACCTTTGTGGTACAGTTTTGATCTCCATCTATAAGGATGTACAGAATGAAGTTTTAAATAGCTCCTGTAATCTTTGGTGAAGAGCAAGTTGAATCACATCCACCTCACACTGACTTTCAGCTTATCCACAGTGACACATGTTGACCTTGGGCATGGTTAGTCATGAGGAACTGAAGATAGTGCATTTTTTCATGTGATGGGCGACCTTGCTGATCATCATACAGATGCACAAATTCATGTTTTACTCTCTGCTATTAAGTATTGACCTGTTTTGAAGAATGTTACATGCTTTTCTGAGGAAACAGTGACATGAACTCAGGTTTCTTTGATGGAATACCAGGTGAAGTGATGTCTTTGCTGAGTACTCCTTTTCTGTATTTGGGGTCTATTTGAGCATCTGGTTGTCTACCTTCAGCCTCACAACAGTCAAAATGTGTTTACTGTTCTAATATGAACAGAATTAACTGTCATGATGTCAATCCCCCTTTTTTCTCACATCACACATAATGGTATTTGCTATGAATGAAGGTCCAGTGTCCCCTCCATATTGAGCATCACCCTGAAGTTGGCACTGACTGCTTTGACTTGTTTGCTTTCTGAATAAAACCCAGAAGTCAGTAGTTCCACACTTAATTTGCAAGGATAAATCTAAGACCTTCAGATCAAAGACATTTTTAATTATGTAATGCAATGCTGTGCATGGATTCATGATTCAGAAGAACATTAAAAACTCCCTTAACTTATTCACAATGTTTGAGAAGCTATTACACATGAGAACTAATTTTTAACATACTAGCGGTATGATGCACGGATTCATGCACATTGAAAGGAAATTAATTAGAAGAAAAATTTGTGTGATAGTTACATTACTGCAAAAAAAATCACATGTCAAAATAATATAATATCCTACCTAATAAAATGGCAATATGCAAATTATCATCACTCCGCTATGCCCACAATTGGGCCGTTGGGAGGCTGGGGGCGGGACTCAGGGTGGCCAATTGGGCTGGCGGGGGGCGGGGACTTACGAGTCCCCGCCCCCCGTTCCTCCTGCCGGCCCCAATGGCCAGCGCTGCGGGAGGACCCATGGGGCCAGCAGAAGGCGCCGGTGACGGAACTCGGGGTGGCTGATTGCGTGGCTGCCGGCACCAGTTTTCCGCCAGCACCAGTTTTCCTCTGGCCACTCGCCGATCGGAGTGCCTCCCGCCAGCGCTATCAGCCACTCCGAGTTCCTCCACTGGCGGCGCTGGAGGAACTCAGGGTGGCCGATCACGCTGGCGGGAGGCGCTCCGATCGGCGGGTGGCCAGAGGAAACGGCGCTGGAGGAACTCAGGGTGGCTGATCGCGCTGGCGGGAGGTGCTCCGATCAGCGGGTGGCCAGAGAAAACTGGTGCTGGCGGAAAACTGGTGCCAGCAGCCAGGTGAAGGAAGGTCTTTTGCACGAAACTTCGTGCAATGGGCTTCTAGTAGTATTATAAAATTAAAACATGCATGTGATTGGCACCAGTGAGAGCTTTATATGTATCGTGCATGTGTAAGTCAATGTTTATTTTTAAATTGCCAGTGCACATCATATGTACCAGCCGGTCAGTCAGTCGCATGGATGGTCATTCACTTAGCCTTTTATATATATAGATATTACACATTTTTCCACTTCATTTGAAATAGTATCTCTTCTTGGCGTGCTCTTAATGTCAAAGTTCCCTGTCTTAGCACAGTTAGATGTTTGGGAGGGAGAGAGAAGGTTTCATGACCAGCTTTGCCCCTGTCACTACTGCCTAAGGCTGTGTGACAAGCCCCGTGTTTTCCTGACAGTTAACTATACCTTTTTTTTTCCCCTTTAAGCACTTATGTGTGACTAAACTGTCAAGCTCTTGAACTGAAGTCAAATATCATTTCTTTTTTTATATCCTGGGAAATAAGAGACTGCCATAAAATTAAAACCAGAAATCATAAAAATAAATATTAGGTGTTTTCTATGCTACAGAAGAGTAAGAAAAGAAAAAAAGAAATAGTCCGATGACTCAGTATAATTACAGCAACAATAATAGCAACAGGGCTTGTTGCTTTCTTTATGTTATCTCATTCATTTTTCACAAAAACCTTATGGTATAGCTGCTATTTTAAGCCCCATTTTAAAAGTGAGGAAACTACGATGTGGAAAATTGCTTTGGGTCATATGTCCAGTAACGCATGTAGCCATTGCATAGAAGTGAGAATCAGGCTAGTCCTGACACTAAATAGCTGTGTGACATTGAGAAGTAATTTGCCTGCATGGGTCTTGACTCGCTTGCTTGCACAGAGGAGGTGGGATGCTAGAGCTGAAATAGTCTGGACTTTGTTGCTGGTTGAATTCCACATTCAGGATGCCAGCTAGATATTTGGGTAGGTTTTACAGCTACAGTGACCCTCAATTGTTTTATTTCACAGAAAATGGAAGTAATACTTATAGGTATTTGGGGATATTTGAAAAGTTAACATGTTTCACATACCTTGCAGAGTTCCTGATACATTGACAATCAATATGATGAGTTCCTATTCTTTCCCTCTGTCAAATAATAGATAGATGACATCCCAGAAGCCTTAAAATTCTAAAACAATGATTTTCACATAAGTCCATTATTTGGAGAATTGAGGGGTACAACTGATGAAAAAATATATAAGGTCATTAAAATGTAATTAATTCCACAGTTATTGTGCAATATTTTAAGAAATATAATAGAATTACATTGGATTCAGAGTATTTATTTTATTGTCCCTGTGATTTTTATTGCACAGTAGGCTGCAAAAACCACCAGAGCCAGCTCCAATTCTTGACATACAATTATCTATATTACTAGAGGCCCGGTGCACAAAATTTGTGCATGAGGGGGTGTCCCTCAGCTCAGCCTGCACCCTCTCCAATTTGGGACCCCTCGAGGGATGTCTGACTGCCCATTTAGGCTGGATAAATGGGCAGTTGGACATCCCTCTCACAATCCAGGACTGCTGGCTCCCAACTGCTCCCCTGCCTGCCTTCCTGATTGCCCCTAACCGCTTCTGCCTGCCAGCCTGATCACCCCATA